TTAATGGCTAGATAAAAACATCAATTCTTTGGTTAATAAAGTCTAGAAAAACCAGGTTTGGTTAAAAAACTAGACGAAAAATGGCTTATTCCGACTAGGTTTACCACAGGCCAATATTGTCCACACGGGTCCTAGTCAACGGTCCGCTTTATCCGTTAGGATTGGTCTGGTCCTGTAGATCCGGGCCGAAGGTTCCCAGAGATGTCCACAGGGGTCCAGTGGAGTAAATCCAGCGGTGCGGTATATGGAAGGCACCATTGCTTTCGCAAGGACAAGTTGTCCCCTTCCTGGTTCAATATGGTGGACCAAGCCCGGTTGGGCGGTCCATATAGGGCCAGAGTGATGCCCCTGGACAGGAGAGGTGCTCCTGTGACCAAAATAGTATGCTTGGACCAATTCCGTTTGGATGGCCCATATGGGTCTCTAACTTGGACCGGTTAGGCCTTGCATGCCAGTTTGGTCATGCGCCTAGGTCCAAAATCTTCTAAGTCCAAGAGGGCCACAATGGAAAAATTTTCTAAGTCCCAGGACCGAAGTGGTGTGATGGACCAAACCCGTTGGGGCGGTCCAAACTCAGTCTCTGACATGCCTTGGGCGGGATCCTAGGTTCCATTGTGACGGGGATTGCCTCTGGCAGGTGTTGGTCACGGAAGTCCTATGTGGCCAGGTTTGGCGCTCCGATGTGGACTTAGTCATTTTTGATGGGCCACGTCTTTGGACGGGCCAAAAGACCTAGTCGATTTTTGGTGGGCCACGTCGTTGGACGGGCCAAAAGACAGTCGATTTTTAGTGGGCCACGTCATTGGACGGGCCAAAAGACTTAGTCGATTTTTCGACGGTCCAAGGTTGATGGCGGGCCAAATGGACTTAGTCGTTTTGTCGACGGTCCAAGGTTGATGGCGGGCCAAAAGGACTTAGTCGTTTTTTTCGACGGTCCAAGGTTGATGGCGGGCCAAATAGACTTAGTCGTTTTTTCGACGGCTCCTGAAAACGTTCAGGGCGCTTTGGATTTTGACTCCCGCCTCGATTTCGTGGATTTGGTTTCCAAGGAGGGCCACCTGAGTCAGTAATCGAGGAATGATCTTCCCCTGCCGCTAGGCAACTTCAAGTTCCCAGTGGCACCGTAGGTGTCCCAGTCTGGCGGCAAAGATGCGTATCATCGTGCCGTTATACGAGTAAGTGTACGTCCCTGGGGCTTCCTTGTGATCGGCCGGCTTGCATGGAATTTCCATGGCGGCTCGTGAGGCTGCGACTATGAAGCTGGCGTTTGCGTCTGGTAGGACAAACTGGGCCAGGTATTTGACGACCTCGAGTTGGTCGTCCTTTATGTTGGCACAAGTCGTTCCAGTCCGGTCGGGTGATAGGCTGTCCAAGTAAGTTCACGTCCGTGATGCTCGACAGAGCATTGTCACGGACCATTGGATAGCCCTCGCGGTTTTCGGTGTGTTCCGCCATGCTGAAAGCACGGGGCCACTCCTTTTTCTGCATCTCCGTTTCGAGGCCGGACCGGATGACGAAGGTTTGCAAGTTCTGGACCATGGCGTTAAGTTGGGCCCATCGATCCCTAGGGTATGGGATAGCGCCCATGATGTAGTCCGTCACCTCGCGATGGGGACGTGGCCGGATATTGATGCCCTGGTCCTGAGCATGTTTATATGGGTCGAAGTCCGTGGCACTGACGCTTGCGTCTTGTCGGGCCGGTGGGTCCGATGACGGCGGTGCGGACTCAGTCTCCATTGGTATCTGGATGCTAATGTTGTGGGCCACCGAGCTGACACTTCGTTCTGGTCGCTTGGTGGACTGAGCGACAACCAGGTTGGACTCGGCCTTGTTTCGTTTTCCGGGTGATGTGCGCGTTTGGCGCTCCTCGGGCTGGCTACGGCGGCCCGTTTGGTCCTGGTTGCGGCTCTGTATCTGGTGACGTAAGTCATCTGGGTTCCGCGGTAGCGGTGCCACTGGCGCATACTGTTCGGTACGCGCTGGCGGATACTGTCCTTTCAGGGCGTCCAACAGTCCACCTTCCATCAGCTGCTTGGCCACCTGGTCAACCATGGCTTTGTTGATGTTTTCCAGGATCTGGTTATATGTCGTCGGTGTGGGCATCTCATATCCGTAGGATTGAGAGCCTGACGATGGCCGCTGCTGATGTCCATATGTTTTCGGGGCGGCCGTTGGGCCGCGCCCTGAGGGCTGGTCGGAACCCGTGTTACGGGCTCGACGTTCCCGGTCTCGTTCCTCTTTCCGTTCTCGAGCCGATTGGCTGAGTGGAGGAATCTGAGTTCCGGTGCTGCTCCAGCCAAGGTTGTCGGTCGCCACTTATTTGCAAGTAGAGATCGTAGATCTCTATCTGCTTATGGTCCCTCAGTAGGGGAAACAGGTGGCTTCCATCGCGGCTGGTCATGTGGCAGTATGCATCGAAATTGCCTCTCACCACTTCCAAGTAGAAGCAGTAGGCTCTATCACTCTCGTCGCGGAAGCCCGGCCCCAGGTGGTATGCGCAAGGGAACAATTCCCGTGGGGCGTTGTCCCGGCGGTTTAAGTGGTCTCCGCTGTTGCGCCTGCAGTCCGAAGATCGCGGTTCATACTTCTGCTGTGGTGTAAGTCCCATTCTCTGTGGTAACAGAAATGAAACTTGCAGAATAAGGTTAAGTCCACTTTCTGTGACGGATCCCTTTGATAATTACGCCCTATATTTTACGTCTCTATGATTTTACATGTGATTTGTTAACTAGGCTTTTCTTGCCCGGTGAATGATATCGGGTTCACCCCCTAGACCCTATGCGAATTCTACGCCTAGGTCACTGATGGTAAGTGCGCCGCTTCTTCTTGGACTTGGTTGAGGCCAAGGAGGCGGGTTCGGTGGGACGAGGGCCATATCAGTCTGGTGGGTTATTCTTCATCCGGTACCGCTGCTGGGCTTCTAGCTCGTCAAGAGTTTGCTCGAGCCAGCCTTCGCGCAGCATCTTTTTGACGATGTATCGCACGTCCTCGCTGAGGTAGTACAACCCGTTGGGGCGACTAGGGGGATATTCATTCCCGTCACTCAGCTGAGGATCGTACGTCGAAAGTTGTACGTCGTATCGTCCGAGGAGTTGATTGGCCATTTCGCCTCTTGTCAGGCCCAAGTGATGTTGCGTGGTGGTCAGTACCGCCAAAATGGCATTCCGCCATTCCCAGTAGCCTTAAGGCGCATCGTCACGTCTTTCCGGTGGGAACGTGTAGAACATCTGCATGTTGGGCAGATGGGTTCGAAGGATGGCTCCTTCTTCATAGGCCATTCTAATGTATTTCATCACCTTGGACTTGGATACTGGTGGGCCATTCCATTTCTGGATGAGTTGGAAGGCCAAGCCTCCTGTAGCAAGAGTTGTACCCGTTTGGGACAACGCCTTTAAGGCTGCCTTAATATATGCCCACGTCTCGTCCGTATTGGAGATCTTCGGCTTCTTTGATGGATCTCCGCCGGGCCATTTCCTCGCCACGTTGGTCCTTGGTGGCGGCACATAGTCTATGCGCGGTTTGGCCGGGCATGGGTCGGGTAAAGTCCACTGGATCTCACCGTCATTCGATTCTGGTGAGGTGGAGTCTCGCACTCTTTCCCGGTAGGGCTGTGCATCACATCCACTTGGCTCAGCGTCTTCTACGCTGGCCTAACTTTCCCGATCGGCGCCTTCTGCGCCGCCCTGGTCCTCCATGTCCTGGTCACCGTTAAGTGGCTGATTTTCATCACCAGGTGGGATTTCCATGTCATGGTCCGGTGGGACGTTCATGGTAAGTTTACCAGGGCTCTGATCATCGTCGTCATCAGAGTCGGACTGGGATTCCATGGTTTGGTCCTGGTCCGGCTCTTCTCGTTGTTCCTCCTGTGAGTTCTCAGGTTCGGAGTCCTCAGAGTCCGACACATCTCGGCCCGGTGGTGGCGGGCCCTTCCTCCCGCTCCTCTTTGCAGCCGTGGCCTTTGTGGCCGTGGTCTTTCGACTTTTAGTTGATGTGGCTGATGGAGTCGGTGAAAAAGGTCTGGACTGGTCAACTGCGTTAGGCAGTGACACAGTGTCCCTTGGCACGGGTCGGATTCCGGCCGCGCGCATCTCTTCTTCAACTTCTTGCCGTGCAGCCTTCTCCCTTCTAGTGACTGATGGTCGAGGGGGCTTTTCAACCGGCAAATTCTTTGGACCTGGCAGTTTGGCCTCTTGGGAGATTAAGTAAGCCTCCTTGGCTCTGCCGGTCAGCTTATCCTTCGGTGGTCCAACCGCTTTCTTTCTGTCCGGATCCCATTTTGTGTCAACGTCGTGTGACACGTACAGAGACCGTTGGGTCTTTTGTGAGATGAATCCCGGGATGGTGAAGCGAATTAGTTCCGCCCTGTGTGCGTTGGTCGTTTCTAGGGTTCCTTCCCTGACCAGCGCAATTAGCTCATCGGCCAGTCTGGTAATGATTTTATCCAGGTTCTCTTCTCCCTGGTAATAGAGGGCATTGAGTGTCCTGGCGAAATCGGTCAGGTTGGACCCTCTTGGGTTGTGCAGGTAAGCGATGGTCCTGCATATCTGGTGGAAAGGATAATCCCGGCTGTGGGAAAGTCCTGCTGGCCGATCGGCCACGTGAAGTTCCATCATGCTGGTCCAATCACGGTGTGTGCGGACCAGAAGTCCCATGTCCAGAATCCGAGATACCATCCGCCGCATAAAGGGTGCCGTTAGTACACGGTCCGCCGGCGGTAGGCCTTGGTATTCTTCCTTATATTTCATCCGGGACCGAAGGACGCAGACGAGGCACTGGTACATGTCTCGTCCTGTTGCGCGTCTCATCGCCCTGGCGGCTGTCACGGTTAGTCGTATATAGTGATCCGCTGGGATCTCTATATGTGTGGCGTCCGGTGCAGGGTCTGGTAACTCGGCCTCATCGTCCCAGGGCGAGGGAAGCATCGCTTCCTCCGAGGACGATTTCGTCTCGAGGCGATTTGATGCGGGTTCCGCCGGTTTATCTGGACTGTCCGATAGGACTTAAACATCTTCATCGCCTGACAGCCGCTTCTCGAGCTGGGCGATCTTGGCCTCTTGACTTTTCTTGTCCTTGGCCGTTTGCTTCTTTTGGCGGTTCCTCTCGGCCTCAGGGTTCTGGGTTGGCCGGGATGTGGCCGGCTGACTTCCACTCGGTTGAGGGGAGTTTGGACGAGTGACCGGTTTGGCCCTCGATTGAGAAGTTGGACGAGAGGCCGGTTTGGCCCTCTCTGGGTTCTTGGCTTTCCTTGGCTGCTTACTCCGTTGGGAGTTAGCTGAGTGGATTACACCCATGCCAAGTGCCAAGGCGTCCAATGTCCCGGTTACAGGGAAGGTTACTGGGCGGCCAAAAGGTATGTCGTCGACACTGGCGGGCATGTTCGTCAATGTTGTCGGAGCAGCGGCCGTTGGCCCTGTTCCGGACTGGCTTTGGCCTGTCAATTCTTGTGCCGACAAAGTGGCCTTCGGTGGCTCCTCCTGTTGGACCAGTTCTGGCTGTACAGCCACAGGTCCAGACGGAGAAGTGTCCATTGGTTCTGAAGCTGGGGGTACCTGCGTCTTTGGCGGTACCACAATCAGTGGGGCACTTGACAGCAGGGCTTCAGTCATCATTGGGTCTTGCTCCGGTGGGGGAAAGGCCCTTTGATTGCGACGGGTCCGGTAATCTTTACCATTCAGTGAACTAATGGCGCGAGCATCTCGGATAACATGTCGTATTCTTCCATGTTATTCTGCTCCTTCGCCTCCTGTCTCTTTGTGAGCAGGAACCGGTATCGCCGTCGCTCATTTTGGTCTGAGTGGATGTATAAGTGTCTCTGCTCGGTAGAAGTTAAAGCACTCATGGGCATCAGGGCCGTGTCGGTTTCCACTTCTTGGTCCGAGACAGCCGGAGTTGTCTGCACTTTCAATCTGGCCGATTTTGCGGCCACTGGTGCAGTAGTCCTAACTGTGACCGTTACTGGCTCAAGTGATGAACCTGCAGACACCGTAGGTGCTGCGATTCGTTCCACAGTAATGGTCATGGTTGGCTGCTGAGGAGGTGTGGTGTCCATCCTCTCTTTGGTCGGGGACTTGCCTGGCCGGGTCGGTGTGAACCTGGCGGGCGCCGGTTCGATGGCCGGCATGCTGGGCATTCGCGCCGGGGTTGATGTGGCGCGTCCAGGAGAAGTCCTTTTTGACGGAGATCGACTTCGGCGTGGCGATTCCTTTGTTGAAGGTGGCCTGACCTGACTGGTCTCATATAACGCCCTTTGGACATGTTCGTCTAAATCTTCTTCATTCTCCGACTCCTCGCTGGACGAGACGCCCCAGAAGGCCGCTGGCAGTTGAGGACGTTCATCCTCACTTTCTGCCTCTTCTGGTGGAAGTTCGTCTTCCACTGACTGGCCTGGTCGTGGGCGCGGTTCAACTGTCCATGCCCTTGGGTTGATGTGTAGGCCTCTTATATAGATGGCGTGCTCAATAATTTCGCTAGGCAACTTGCGTTGGCGAAGGGCCTGGCTTTTGCTCCGCACAGCCATCAGCTTTCTGATGAGGATTGATCATTCTTGGGCCATCAATTGACAACCTCGGTTGATGCGGTCAATCTCACGGTCCGTTAATGTGGGATCGCCGGCGCGTAGTCGCTGGCGGATGTCCTCCTCAGTCAGATTTAAGCGTAGATTAACTTCTATGATCTCGTTTACAGCTTGATTATGCGGGTCATTCCACGACTCCGTTTGAGTCAATCGGATGCGATGCCTCGTTGGAGGTTCGTCCCGCAATGGGTGAGTTGTTCCTAACGGAATCGATGGTGCTTCCGGTGGGGAGAGCACGTGTCCCTTGCCAGGAAAATTCTTTGGCGGCGACTTCTTCTTCTTGGCCGGTAGGCCACGAAGTGTCAAAGTCGGTGGTTCCGCTTTCTTCGGTTTAAGTATGGACGGGCCAGGCCTGGTAGGGCCGGGAACGTCTAAGTCCTTTGGTGGGCTACTCCACGCTGGTAGAGTGGGCCTGGTTGGACGGTTAAGTTCCAGGTTTTCACGCGGTTCTCTCCAAGGTGGGAGTGACCGCTGCGAAGTAGGCTCTTCAGCTTCTGGAGGAGTCCTCTTCTTCTTTTTGAACCTGGGCGACTGTGGACCACTTGTTGTGGTAGGAGTGGCTGGTTCTGGCCTTCCTCCTGTGGATTTCCTGTCCGTTGGTCGGACAACAAGGGTGCCACCAGATGTGTCGCCTTCGATTGGTTTCGGGGTGGGCTGTGATGACACCGTTGGTGCGTCAACAACCGTTGGACTTGTCGGTTCACCAGCCGGTTAGACTGGTGTCGACTCCGGTTCAGCCGGCTTCTCCGGTGAGAGCTCGAAGGTCTTATCGGGCAGGCTCACGTCCATTTCGACGTCCTGCAGTGGAACTTCTATACTGCTGTCTACTGTAGCAGGTCCGGCAGTGTCCACGGGTTGGCTTGATGTTGGACCAGGCACCGTTAGGGCCTGAGCCGAGTCAGCTGGAGTTGGTTGTCCAACTGGTGCTGGGGCGACCGGTTCGTATGTCAAGGCCAAAGGTTCTGGCGCGGACACTGGTGATGTTCGCCATTCGTTTACTGGGTCGAAGTCACCGGGGCGTGCCGTCGTTGACGGGCCAGGTCGTTGGACCTTCCAGTAATCTTCGATGAATTCTCGGATCCATCTTGTGGTGTGGTCCAAAACAGTTAACGATTGACCGGTAGGCATCGTACTGTTCGGAGTGAGTTCCCTGAGCAGAACCAACCGTTGGGTAAGGCTCTGTTGCTGTTCTGTCAGCCTGACCGCTTCTGGGTCGAATGGGCTGAGATCTTGGATCCGGTTAGTTAGGCGACGCTCGATGTCCTCGGCATCTCTAATGAGGTTTCTATTCCTCATTGCCTGAGGGATCGTCATCCTAATGGATCCGGTGTCAGCCTCGCGTAACCGTTGGTTCGCTGCTGCTTGTTCTTCGTCCCACTGTTGACGTAAAGTCCGAGGGGCCGATTGATTGTCGTTAACCAGTTGGTTTAACACAGGGAAGTCGTCCGCATAAGCCGGTCTGCCTTGCGTGACGTTGGCCCTCATAATCCGTTCCAGGCGTTCCGCTATTTTTGGTGGCGGCGCCAGTGAACCTGGTCTAGGGTGGACCTGTCGTTCTGGCGCGACCATGTGATCAGGCGGAGCTGTTAATCCTGATACTGGGATTGGATCTGGCATGTCGAACCATTCAATGTCGCTGTCGGTTTCTGTGTCCGACGCGCTGGCTGGTCGACTAAGTGCCGGTCCGGCTGCGAATCGTTCAGCCGGGATGCGCATGATTCTCAAAAACCGCATCCTCAATTCTTCTGCCGGTTGGCGTGTTGAGGAAAGTGTCGGTGTGAGAAGTCCGGTTTGTCCGACGCGTGTTGGCTGCCCCGGTCGGGGTTTAGGCAACACGCGCCTAAGTGCTTCGTCGATCAGGCCAAGCTGATATTGCCGGTTACGGAAATCGCGCAATGCTGGCGCGTCATTGGCCGTGTTAAGTGGCTTATCCATAAACCGCAGCATGGCCCGTCGAATCCTGGTTATGTATTCCAGGACGCGCTGGAATTCTAAGTCTAGCGCGACTTTTCTCCGCATAGTGGCGATGTCCACGCCTTTCAGAATGCTGATGGTCTTGCGGATTTCCTCTTCTAGGACTTCCGCGGCGTGGAGTTCGCGCTCCAAGGGCGGTATGTCTGGGTAGGCTCTCAGGTCGTACGGAGATGATGCCGGTTCTCGCGGTTCCAGGCCAGTGGCCGTTAACATTGCCTCGTCGGTAGACGTAGGCTGGGCCACTGGTGGCGCGGAAGATTCCTCTGTCGTAGTGGTAACTACGACTGTTGGGTTCTTTGGAGGCGGTGATGGTGATGGCGCTGTGGCTTCTTTGGCTCTGGTTCTAAACCGTTGAGCCATCTTGTGTTGCTCCAGTCGCCATCTTAATCTTTGCGATGCCGCCAATAGGGCCTGACCGGTCTGGTCATGCAACGGGAAGATTTCGTGCTGGGCCCGGCGGGTTGCAATTTCTTCGCTAAGTTCATGCGCTTGGCGCCTGCATTCTTCTTGATCGATAATGATCTTCTGGATCAGCTCACGGTAGTGAGGACCAATTCGGTCAAGTTCTCGAATGATGGTCTCCAATTCTTGGATAGCGTCCTCCATCTCCTTCAGATTGTCATGAAGTTGGTAGAGTGGGGTCCGTCCATCGGCCAAAAGTTCTGTAGGGGATTCGGTCCTCATTGGCGGGGTGGTTGGATCCAACTGGACGTCCCCTTCATCTTCCTCTTCGTCTGGCATTGGCGACGACACAGGTTCTGTCGGTGGGACAGTCTGGTCGCGCCCGGCCAACACTGGGTTCAGTGCTGGTCCTGCCACTGGTTCCGGTTCGGCTAGGCCAAGTTGGGCCGCCAATGCTGGTGGAACCTCTTCTGGCCGGTTGTAAACTGTTAATCGTCCGTCCACGAATACCCGTAATGGGTAATCACGTAACCCGTCGGGCCGTGATGTGCTTGACTGGGTTTCCAGCGGCGCTGGAGTTGCATACGCTTCCGGTCCCGCTCGTGGAGGCTCAATGGAAGAGTCAGACGGCGCCTGGCCCGTAGGGTCAGGTTGTGCCGCTGAAGGTGGGCTATACGGCGGTTGGCCGTATGCTCCATATCCGCCGTAAGGCAGTGGATATCCGTAAGGTCCTGGCGGATACATCCACGGTGGTGGGTATCGCCATTGGTTTGGATCTGGCTGCGGCTGGTTTGAAGGTCCAGGCGCAGGATACGGTGGATATCCATAGTGTGGGTTGTAGTATGGCGGCGGAGTGTACTGTGGCCGCGGTCCAGTATGGACCGGCGTAGTCGTGACCGTTGGCCCGACTGCCGCAGTTGTAAAAACCGGCTGACTTGCCGAAGTGGTCGGTAGGGCCACCATACAGAATTGGTTGAGGTGGGCCTGTTTGGCCACGAGGATAACGTCGGACCGTTTGGCCCGACGTAGAGCTTGGCTGGCTGCCAGCTACTGCCGCGTTCACCAGGAGTCCGGTATCGTCAGAGAATGTCCCTGGCGGCCAATATTGTGGCGGAATGGCTCGAGGTGGCAGAGGCTGTGCCCGCGGTAGCGGTGTGTCGGACCGTGAACTGGGGCCGACTGACGTAGTAGCCAGCTGCTCAGCAGTTAAGTTAGCTCTGATATTCGGTGCCTGTACACTCGGAGGCCGGTTGAACGACCGAGTGGAAGATCCGCCCGACCGGAATTCCGGTCGTAAATATGGATGTGGTCGGTTGCTTCGGTCGGAGTCGTCTGAGCGATCAGTACGTCGACGTCCTTCCATCGTTGAATGGGGCGCTGTCACGAGACGAATCACGCGGTGTTAGACTCCTACCTACTTTGTTAGTTCAAAGTACGGCTAGCTACTTCTAAGCTACCATATCCGTTATCGGACCAGGTTAAGCTACTTCTGAGCTACTGGTCATTTAGAGTTAGGTCAGTTAATTTTAGGTTAGTTAGTTTCCGATAGCAGATCACGGAAACGATCATGGGACTTTAAGGTTAGTTAGACTAATTTTAAGTCTACCATGTCAGATATTATTTTACTATTTCAGAATGACGTTAAACACTTTGTCC